GAAGGCGAAGACCCAGACATACAGGCACAGAAAAACACAGGAAGGAGCGAAAAGAGGAGGTCCGTCAGCGGTGACCAAGTTTCAGAAGCGAGAAAGAAGCTTTGGGGTCGCACAGTAGGGTGATAATCGTGAACTGCATAGCTCAAAACAACTAGAAGGAAAGACTCTGGATACCACAAAGAAATAGTAAGCATTTGAGGTGATGGATATGCAAATTAGCCTTGCCTACGTGCAGCAGTGAAAACTCACTTTGTACCCCATACATTTGTGTTATCGTTGTCAACGTAAACACACATGTTGATTAAGATGGCTTGTGCCAAATTTCCTCAGACTTGCTTTTCTCCTGTCTTTCTCTTGTGGGAAGAGGAAGTCACTGGTTTTCAGGGTCCAGAAGCAAAATAAATAAAATTTAGGAATAAAAAGCCCGAGGGAGTCTCCCAAGATTCTATGTAAAAGGGATGAGGTCATCACAGGCTTGTGGTCCTTAAATACTTTCAACGCGACTTACTAAGCCTTTCTTTTCGGGTACAGGAGACTCGGCCTAGGTGTGTCCTACGATGGACTTTTTCCTAGAGCTCTTTCCACCCTCTGCCCTGGTATCTGATTTTATGTTCTTCAAAATGCCATTAGTTCACTGGAGTGACTTTAATTCTATTGACAATGTTAATTCTCTGCCTGTAGAAACCAAAGGCCACTCCGGATAAGCTGATTTTTGTTTATTATCTGACAAGACTCGAGATTACTCTAAACCGATTTTGGTGTGCCTCCCTTCAACCTAATCGTATTGGACTTCTCCCCTCAGCTTAAGCATCAGGGCTGAATGCCTCCTCATATTATATTTATATCTGACATAAAAGTCATGCGCAATTTAAAATTACCTACAGTAGTTTGCAAAAGGGTGCAGGTTTAAACTATTAGTAAATTGAAAGGCTGGTATGCGTGAACCCACGTGTACTTTAGCTAAACCTAGTTCCAAGCGCGAACCCAACGACCCGTTTCTCTCCTACCAGATGATGAATTTGCTCGTGCCCGTGTTACTGATGCTCTGTGACCAGAGTCGTGTCGGGCAGGTCTCAGCAGGCCTGAATCAATATGCACCTAAGTTGTCACTGCATTATAATTTTCACTGTCCCTTTCTATAACACTTGGCCATCAAATATCAGGCAAGACCTAAAGAATGATAATAAACTTCCAGAGAGAGAGAGAAAGAGAGAATCCATTTCACAGAATTAGAAAAGCGTGGGACTAATTGGGATGTGTGTGTGCGCGCATGCACGTGTGTGTGTGTGTGTGTGTGTGTGTGCTTTGCTAGACCTATTTTTTTATGTTGAGTAGTAATAAACAACAGCTACTTGTGAAAAAGCCACAGCACACTCCATTCGGGTGGCTTAAGTGAGCTGGCTGTCCTGCTCAAGGCTCTCTGAAGTAGGAACAACATCAAGATGCCAGTCACATCACAACGAATTAGCCACAGAACGTGAAAGCCGTCAATTCGCAGGCTACCCTGATGCAGCCTGAGGGACGCCCAGGCTCCAGGAGCTGCGGAGCAACTCTCCGCACTGATCCTCAGCCCCAGTATTAAGTCAGTCTTTCCCAAAATCTTCTCCTGGCACAGCCTTCTTGGTTTCCATTTGTCTCACTTTCCTGGAACCCCCTTGTCTTTTCTAAACTGGCCCTTCATCTCCAAAGGTCTCCAAGTCAACGCAGGTTGACCTTCCATCTCCTGAGGAGTTCAATAGAAGGAGACACCGGGTCTCGGAGTAGGGGACTTACGGGCTGATCTCCTAATAGCCCACACAGTCAGAGGGAGCTGTCTGAGCAGCAAGCACATGGTCTTGCTGTTAGCGGGCAGGTTTTGAAACCTGTACGGACACCTTTAATACAGTCCCACCCCTCTGGGGACTGGCTTCTCCTCCTCCTCCTCCTCCCACTTCAGAAAACGCAGAATGGAACTTTGTGTTTCAATTTAACATCCCTTGAAGAACGGAAATCTTTCCCTTTAGAAGAAAAATAAATAGCAGAGAGGAAGAGGAAAAGCAAGAGAGAAACCACTCAGGCCTTCTCCACGGCACACTGGAGAACTGGGGAACGGCGACCAAAGCAAGCTCTGTAATAGCATAATGATCTTTAATGAGTGTCTTGGGAAACAATACAGCCCCAGCATAAAAGACAAAGGGCAAAACCTATCATGGCTCTGCTGACACTAATTCAAAATGATTTTCAGAACAACTAAAGAATGTACGAGAAGTAATCTGATCCACCCAGCTGACCTCTTTGATTCCAGGGCCCTTCTCCTGCCATTTCTAATTGTCAAACCCTCTGCCTTTCACATCTGCTCATATTTAATAAAAAGACCACTCTCGCCACTGCTCTGAGTCAGCCTGCTCTGTCAAGTGGGCACCCCAAGCCCTGCCACCAGCAAGGGACACCCAGGGATGGCTATGGAGCTTTGCCAGTGGGCTTCAGGGGAGGGAGAGAGAGGGTTTTTTTTTTGTTTGTTTGTTTGTTTGTTTGTTTTTAAATTGGACAAGAGTTTATGTAGTCATGTGAAGGGGCTCAAATTGGAATGGATTTTTCTAACTTATTATTAATGGTCAAAGGTGAATGATTTCACACAGGGATGGGTGAAATTTGCTTTTGTCTGAAGAAGTGATGACGGGGGGTGGGGGGTGGACAGGGCGAGGGAAGTGGAGACGGTGAACAGCTCTTAAGCCGTCAGTACTAGTTAAGACTTCAACACCTAGCTCCAAATGCCGTGTCTCCCGTGGTGAGGGGGCACCACTTGAAGCACAGGAAAGACAACAAAATCCTGCACTGAATGTTTTTGAGAGGCTGGAACAATCCCACCTCAAGTTGTCTTTCTCCTGGCCTTCAACCATGCATGGCTATGATTGCAGAGCTGAAAAAAGATCCTTCTAATTATGGTTTCTCTTGGCTAAAATAAAAATTACTTACACTAAGCATCCTGGGCCTTGGACAAGGACACGGGCAGCTGTGATAGGAATGGCTGACCAGCGCCAAGATGTGACCGCAGAGCCTCAGCTCAGAGCCGCGGTGGCTCCTGCCTTCCTCCGCTAAGTCTGCAGCCAAGGTTCTGAACCTCGTGGTACCTTGAAGTTGTGCCTTAGGCAGAAGTGACTGGCAACTATCCCCGTCGCCACCACTCACAGAGAGGTGGCCTGACCCCCGACACCACATCCCACTGCTTCCCCAGCTCCTCTCTTTGAACCTGGTGATGTCCCGCTACACGTCATAGAAAAACAAGTTTTTGTGCAGCTGTGACCTATGTCACCTGGATCACGGCATAGGTAATAGATAAATTTTTTTGTGGGGAAAATGAAAAGGATTCAGATCATGCCATGTGTAAAAAGAATCTGAAAGGAAACTTCCCTTCCAAGACTTTAGGCCAGCACGGCAGTCTACATTCCCTCTCAATGCAACCTCAATTAAGTATCGCTTTAAATCAGTCCTTTCCCTTAGCACTATCCTGGAGGAATAGTGAATTGCGAGTCTGAGATGATGGATCTCTGGTTCTAGAGCAGACTTTTCCAAATGCCTTTGAGGCAACCTGATTGTACTTCTGATGCCTCAGACGAAAACTGTAGGTTCTGGCATGGCTCACCCCTGCGGGGTGTGCAGTAGCGTGAGAGCTCCCTCATCCTGGAAGGACACAAGATGACCATCACAGGAGTGCACTGTGCTGGGCCTGCCATCAACTCTGGCCAGCACAGGTCAAGAGAGTTCACTCTTCAGAAAATACATGCTCAAGAGCTGAAATCTAACTCCTGCTGGTGAAAGGTCAACAAGCTCAGGGCACTTGGGAGGGGACAGGACAGACGGCAATATGATCACCAAATAAACGAGTTGGTCCCTTAAAGAGGAAGGGAAAGGATCATATGCAGAAAGAATTGTTTCCTGCTTCATGTACTATACAAAATGTCAAGTCGAGGTCCCAGTCATAGTCTAATGGCATCCAAGTCCTGGAGCAGAATGCAACCTTCTCCGGAGGGGGATGAGGAGGTACACCTCAGCATCTCCATCTGGCGCTTTCGGTAACATCACCTATGAAATGGATTCTGTGCTGAGAAAATAGCAAAGTCTAGGATGAAGACAGGGATGAGTGTGGTCCAAGGAATTTGGCTCCCTCTAGCCTGAGCACGTACCATCTGTAGGACCGATGCATTCCTTAACATCTCCAAGCTCAGGAGCAACAAAGGCCCGAGCTATAGACTCAAGGCAACCATGGCAGTTGCTGGCTTGTGTGCGCTTGTGCTTTATACTCATGACGGCTACAAGTTAGCTTTAGTTAAGTGGGAATCTATTGTTGGAAAAACAAAAGAAGAATGATCTCAGAACGATCTTCCTGGGGCAAAGCTCTAGAATTCACCAGCCAATGGAAGTTGGCAGATTTAAAATTCTCTTTTCCAGAACATAGGACAAAAATCTGTCACTGGAGGAATGAGTTTCAGATTAGAGAGGCACAAAAAAAAAGTACAAAGAGGTATTATTTTACACACATACATCTTCATATCAACTCTGTTTTTTTCGGAAATTAACTCAAAGCAATTTAGTGCTAGATCTGGCCTTTTCTCTCTGCACCTTTTCCCTTCCTCTTTTTGATCCAGTTCAAATTATAGCCATGTCTAAAATATCAAGACACACATTTTACATATCTCAGCATTAATATGGCATTGGATGTGCTGTCGGTTTAATTTGTATTTCCATTTATTTAAATGAGGGAGAGAAAGGAGGCCAATCAGCAGGCTGGTGTGTCCTAGGCTTGCACGCTATTTCAAGAAGTAGATGGAGGCAGAAGGGAGGCCCTCCTCTGCACTTATACAGAGACACAGGCAGCGGGACTTCCTCTCACCACAGAAGAGATAACATTGGGAAGGAAACACCGGTCAGGTGGACGCACAGACCACAGGGCACGACACGAGACAGGGAGGATACCACAGACAACACAGACACGGCACAGCACATGTTGAGGTCAAACTTACAGGCAGGGAGACTGGTGGAGCAATCATTAACAGAGACAGAAGAAAGTGGGAAGGCTCTCTCAAGGGTGTCCACGTCACCACGCACACGGCCTGACATGCACGAGCAGTCACGCTCAGAACGTCCGCAATCAAAACAACATGCCCGTCTCATTCTCTTGCAGATGGACATCTTGGCTACAACCATGAGGTTGGATGGGAGGAGAGGAAGAGAGGCAGTTAATGGCAAGCTGACACACAGCAAGGCAGCTGGGAGCTGGAGGGATTGAACACAGGTCTTAGTTCACATTAACAGTCTTGACCCAGGGAAAAAATGCAGCGTGATAGTTGGTAACAGTTTGGCTGTACATCAAATTAAAAAAAAAAAGCAATAAAAATATAAATTGCCTGTATCGTCCCCAAGGCTGTTGCATATTGTACCCCCACCCCCTCCATAGAGTGGTGATTACAGCAACAGGACGTAACTGAATACAGTCAGATTCTTGGATGGGAAGAAGAACAAATTATAAACAGTTCTTTTTTTTTTTTTTTCTTTTTAAAGTAACCAACCTTTTCTCCCTGGCACCATTAATACAGGGAGGATAAAAGAGAAACAAAGCCAATCAATTACATTCATTGCTTATGTGGTATCACAAATGGTTTTTGCAAGAGGTGAACATATTTAATATGTAGTTTTCTAATTTCCATCCACTTCTGGGGCACTAGGCAGAGCCTGGGACACACTTCCATCAAATTAGATGTTAAATGATTACATGTTCATACAGAATCTGTGTACGCCTTGGCTCAACTTCCCAGGAGTGAGTTTACATGATAGCTATAGGAATTTAAATTTACTCTTGACAGAACAAATATCCAAATCTGTCCATATAAGAAATGCAGCTACTCAAGGCTAATGCTGAGTATCTGACATTAAAGGAAGTTCGCAAATAAGAAATCAGCAAAAGCATATGAGAGGTTGGTTCACCGGACGGCATTTAGCTGCTCGTGGGTGTATTTTCTGCTTAAAGCTGAATCTGAAAATGGCATCTACCATTCCTCCCCACCTTCCAGGAACTCAGAATGCAATCAGACTACTGGTTAATAGGGACCCATTTTCTTATATGGAAAATATTGGCCGAAATAGATTAAAAACGACAAAACATGAAATAAGAAAATGGGTCCCTTGTGAAATACCTTACTGAGAATTGCATGCCCCAGTGTTGGCTCTTCTTAAACTAGTGTGGCAGGCTCCGTTCTGCATGGGGGCCCACCCCAAATGCTGACCTACAAAGGTTGTTGCACAATACTGTCCAAAGTTCTTCACCTCTACCTTTCAAGAAAATTTGTATTTCAGTACAAGAGGAACTTTTCGCACCTCATTTGTATGCCACCACAGGCAGACATACTGGTCTACCAGTGGTCAGCTTCTCACACAGGGGAGAAGAAGAATTCATATTTACTCTACGGATCACAGCCAAACAACAAACCTGAACCAAGGAGGTGTTATTCCCGGCACCCATAACTTCCATTTGGAAAGGCATTCTTCCCTCTTGTTCTTGTTCTTTGCAGAGAATGGTTACCCTCTTATTTTAAAATATGACTTGTGGTTTGGCCCTCTCTGATTGTTACAGTCACCAGGAAAGGGGCTTAAATCTCTCCAATGGGTCAAGTCCTGTTCTAAGACCTTTATGACTTGCCATACAGTCTATTTGTCAAGCAAGGGGAACGTTATGATTGTGAAGAACAGGCACTGGGGAGATGAATGAGAGATCTCTTCAGCAGCATCTCTGTCCTTGTAAACTCAGCTCACACTTTTAGTGGCATGTTCTTGTAGCAGCCTGGCTATTCTGTTGTTCAGATCATCATGCAGCCCCAGCCCTGTTCAATGCACAGTATATCATTCCTTTCCGCTTAGCTATTACAAAAAAAAAAAAAAAAAAAATTCCACTATAGCATTTGAGTCAAAGGAGTTTAAAAGGCACTGGCATGACTGCCCACATGGCCTCACAAAGCAGCAGCAGCTGAAGTCAAGAAATGGGGGGAACGTCTTCAGCTGAAGACATGAAAAGCAATTCATTTGAAATGCATCCAGGTCTGGTGTAAGACTGAGAGATGCAATGTCTTATTTTTTCTTTCTTAGGTCTTTCAATGGAGATATTGATTTGTTATTTACCCAGAAGAAAAAAAAGGGGGGGGGGGATGATTTTGGTGGTTGTTTCACTGTAGATAAATTGTTATGAAAGGAAAATTTTAATCAAATGCTGTAGCAGAAGAGAAGCCCATCAAACTCACAAATGCTTTGCTTCTCATTAGCAACAGTCCCTGGTTTTCATTTCCATACTTCCATTTTGGGTTTATGTACAGTAATAGAGTCTGACACACTTATGATATATATATATATATATATATATATATATATGCCATTTTTAAGAACAAGGGATGGGATAATGGAGATGGAATCACTTTAGAAACTATTCTGTCAGAGGTAACCCCTCATGATGGGTGATTTAAACCTCCTACTTCATAAGGGTACAGGAGGTACGATCACATCAAACCAGGGCTCTCAGGGACTGTTTGCAGTTGTCACTGTCGATTGTTCCAAAGACCATGCATTGTAAAATTTCATATCGTTAGCATGCAGGAACAGGCTGAAACTGGTCATCGAAGCAGCAAAAACCCATTTGCTATAAGATTAAGTGTTAATTATAATCAGTTACATTCCAAAGCAGCATATGCATTAAAAAAAAAAACCAGAAAACATGCTATTACACGTCATTCCTTCCCAGATGTTTTTTCACACTCACACCAAATGCAAAATAGAAATCTCAAAAAAACAAACAAGCACCACCACAAAAAAACCAGCAAGAAGGATTAACAAGGGGCTCAAAGACAGGATAGAAGCAGTTAAAAGTGATTGAGCCCCCCATGTTGACAAACCTTCACGAGTCACAATGTCCCTAGGCCAAGGGCCACAACTGGGAGCGTGGCGCCTTTTCTCTACTTCTTGAATAATCCATGTTCCTCCCGCCATGTGTCTTCACCTGCAGAGTCTGCAGCCACTTGCCTACCATGTATGGCCCACTCTGACCTACCACTCGGTGAAGTGATCCAGCAGGCTCGAGGGCTGTACGTACCAGCGGGGAGGAGTTTTCCTCTGGGCTGCTATTCAAGTCAGGGACATGTCCTTTAACTAAAAAGAGGTGAGGATCTGTCTCACCAGTAGTAGATGCTCCAGAAGATATGGATACTCCTTGTGCAAAATTATACTCTCAAGTTGTAAAATAAATTAATATCAAAATTATGCTGTGGCTCTCCTAATTTGAAAATTACCTCCCCAACATCTTGCTCAACACTCTCTTCTCTCTCTCTCTCTCTCTCTCTCTCTCTCTCTCTCTCTCTCTCTCTTTCTTCTTACTCATTCACTTCTGTTTCGTGATTATGATGTTCAGATCCAACAGTATTTTATTTTGGACTAGCAAATTACTTTTACACGTCAAAGAGCCATAGGCTCGCAACGTTAAGTTTCAAAGAGGAACTTAGAAAATTGCAGTAAGTATTTAAAGCAGGAGTTTCTTATCTATTTCCCGCCTGCACAAAGTTCCCTCGCTCTTCTGGTGTGGGCTGAGGTCCTCTTAGGAAGTCACCCTTGCTCTCTTCCCAAATCCCAGTCCTCAGAGCAGTTTTCCCAGGGATCTCAATGGCATTCCAAGTGGAACTATGAGGACATCTAGCGGATCGGTGTGGAAGAGCAGCAAACAACGTGAACTTTGCGGGCCTTGCTTTGAAAGAGGTAGAAAGCGGACCCTGATGTCTCTCAGAATTGAAATGCTTTCAGTGTCATTTCAATTCAGTGGTTGCTCCGATCCACGCCAGATGCTCAGGGGCAGCAGAGACAATGGGCAAGGCATCCTAGGAGATGATCCTAGGATGGCAAAAGGGACGACTTGGGAGCCGTTCACGGGCTCCACAGCTCGGCTGGCCGGGTCTCTTCAAGGCCCTTCTGCAGTTTCCTGACAAAGAGGGCGGACCAGTGTGTCCGTGGCAGGTGTAAACACTAGAGCTACTTGTCATTCCGTCTTAGGGCTCTTGAAACTTTATGCTCCATTAACTGGCCCGATAGGCCAATTTAACTCAAAGAAAGCAGAAATATAAGCCTCCCGAGACTTCGTCTTCTCTTTGGCCCACATCACTAGGTTCTTGCTTTTGGACTCATGCCACTGATTCGGAGAAGTTATGTGGTTGTCAAAAATTAGATCCTGGGTCTCACCTTCCTCCAAAGAACTCTATTTGAGCAGTTTCATAATTTGAGAAACAGCTTTTATATGCTTTTCTTCATCCCAATAAAGTGGATATTTCCACTATTTCCAATACGACTTCCCAGGAGTATTTATGGAGACAAAATAGAAGCATTTCCCTAATGGACATCATCAAAGCTAGCTGTTTACTCTTGAGTTTTTAAAATGGAAAGATTTCTCAGACACGGGCTGGGACAACTTTTCCTGTCTTTTCAAAGGTCATAATCGTGAAAACTAAAGCCTGCTGCAGATGTAGCAGAATTAACTGCTCTTTTCCTGAAACAGTGCAACCATCAGCTGTCAAACTGTGGTCCCCTGCTAGTGAGCCCTTCCGAGCCAAGCCTGGAATGGAAGGGAGAGCTGGATCGCCTCCTGTCCCCGGCACCATCTGCCTCCTGCTTCAGCCACCAAATGGTCAGCCAATTCGCAATTGCAGAACCTTAATTTTCAGGGTGGATTGGAAGGGGGCAGGAAAAGCAACCATGGACAGCGAGGTGCAGGTGGGGTTTTCCAACCGCTGGGGATGGTGAGATTTTAGGTTTCAAGTGCAGCAGATTCAAAGGAAGACTGGTATGGGAAAGAAAAAAATCTGCTGTTCAATTCACAGATACTTCTCAGACCTGACCTTACTTTTAAAATCAGTCCAATGAAGGGAGTTTTATTTCCAAGCATAAACCATTCAAGCACTTGGCAGGACCTTCAATTATCAGTAAAATATCCAGGGAGAAAAGTCAATGGAGGCTTAAATTTGAGGTGTACTCTTTGACGTGGCACTGCGAATCACAGAACATTCTTTCAAGCGCTGTCAGTGAGGAATAACGTCTTCACTTAACAAAATTCCTCTCGTTACCTTCTGAAGAAATTCCAAAAAGGTCTTCCAGGTGGTTTCCCAAGAACAGGAGCAGAGAAAGGAAGGACAAAGTCAGTTAATGGCATTGGCTCAAAGCATAGCAAGCTCTGAGATTCAGCGGTCAGCAGTCACGTTGCAGCTGGAAAAGGCAGAAGAATTTGGCACTAGAGTTGCTTGTTGAGTGACATCCCGTTTTCCTCCGATTCCAAAGAATGGCAAGGCGGTGGGTATGAGGGCACCTCGTGTCCTCCACATCCTGGAAAGCAGTACAGCTGAAGGCAACCACAGACTCAATACTGGCAGACTTAGGCAAGGAGGTGAAGAAAGTGATCGTTTTGGTGATTGTGGCCGATTGTTCACTGGAGGAAGCCAGTGCCACTACACTGAGCTGCAGTCCCGCCCTTTTTCATTTTTTATTTACATTGAGCATTTCATTGGCTCCAAACCCTGAGGGTGTGCCCAAATCAGAGATCAACTTGCTTCTGCTTCGAAGGAATCTGAGGAATCCCATGTTTACAAATCTCATTTCTGAATACAGAACCGATAGTCCCGCCCTGAAATACTGCTGGGACCTTTCCAAGTGCACCCTCCGCTTTGGGTGAAGGAGGTTTCAACGCCTTAAGTGAGTCAGAGGCCCAGGTTGTTCAGGCTCCTGTACAGCTCATCAGTGACATGCAACCTTCTCTTTAGTCAAGCTTTCTTCGTTAAGCAAGGAAATGGGTCTTCTGAGATGCCTCACTACACTCGTCGATGAATTGGGCAGGTTTTATTTTAAGGCAAAGGAACATGGTAAGCTGTAGGAAATAATTGCCACTGTGGAAATATTTGTGTCCAGAAGGCCGTGTAGATGCGTACAGTCCCAAAGGTGGTACGCAATGGATGTTCTAGCATGTACCTTCTTGTACAGAGAGGCACATAGACTATAATAAGTACGACCTTTTTCTATCTGTATGCTTACATATAAAAATATATATTTTTATATATAAAGGACTGCTGTGTATCATATATATCATAACACATGAATATATATGTACCCTAGATGTTTACTTTGAGGGACAAATTCAAGCTGTATAGCAGGGGAGACAAGGAATAATTTATCAAAGGCAAGCATGACAATGATCCTCAATGGATAAGGCATCTACAGCTATAGTGGTAAATATCCCAGCCTAACCAACGTCCCTTAAAAGTCCTGAGATAAGGCCTTCAAGAGAAACACACTTTTGTCAAGGTCTTATTTTCGAATGGAAAAATAAGACAACGGTCAGAAGCTGGCCAGGGGCTGGGCATGGGTAGATGCACGGAGAATGGGCTTCAGGTCTCCACAGGTCCAGGCTACTCCGCAGACGGTGTTGGGCATGAGCGAGTTGGGGCATGATTGTCACTGCTACATGCAACATGAATACCAAAAGGAAAAGAAAAAGCTGTACAGAAAATAAAGGAAGTATCTCATCTAGAGAAAGACAAGGGAACTAGACTCTGGGCTGCTAGGAACCCGTTTTACTCACAATAGATCACTACCAGTGTGCAGTTAAAATAGAGTAGGGGCCGTATTCCAAGGCAGCAAAGAGAAAAAAAAATAAATCAAAGATATATCAATGATTAGAAGTCAAAAGAAATTTCTTCAAACACATCAATCTAGACATGACTTGTCCCTTAGGAGTCTACCCCTTTGGCAAACTTCCAGAGGCTGGGAGGGAAAATGTAAATCATTAGATCAGGTTTGTTACACAGAAAAAAAAAAAAAAAAAAAAAAAAAAAATGGGTAACTGGTAGACTCTGAGAATTTGAGACTGAGGCCAGACAGTTGAAGTGAACTTGCTTCCTTGCTGGAGTGCTATGAAGGAATGGAAAGAAATGCAAATGTTAAACTATACTACCACGGAATTTCCAGAAGCAAAATGTTCACACTCCACATGTCTCCGGAGAACACGACACTGGACATTCAAAGTTGTTGAATGGCATGGAGTGGGGAGGATGGGGGAGGGTTGAAAGGGGAAGAGCTAGGTTGGGAGATAAGGGTTAGGAATCTGTGGATTAAAGCCCAATGGTCATCATGAGTTCTGCCCTCTTGGAGATACACCATTCTAGGGTGAATTATCAATACTTGGACTAACAGATTTAGACAGAAGGCTAAGAGGCTCCACTGCCTTTTGTAGCTTGAACAAGGGAATCATGGGAACAATCCTAGCCCTGTCTAAGGAAAGCTTTGCAACCAACACGTATCTTCTCCAATTTCCTCTTTCACAATGCCTACATGGGGAAGTTTATAGTCAATACTTCATTTTATTCTAACTACCCCTCCTCCTGTATACCTGCATTCTACCCTCTGGGATATGACTTTTTAATTAGGAGGCATAACATCTGGGCAATTCTGATTGTTACTGGACATTAACCTCATAGCTGAGGGCTTTGTCACACTGGTGTGGTCTGGTAAAAGCCGTCCTTTTGCAGCAGCTGTGCTGGGAAATCAGACACCTCACTGGCTCAACCAACTTTAAGGACAATGAAAAGGATAAAATTATTTGAAAGAATGATGTGCCTCTTCTACTGGGCTTATCTGTTTGTCTGGAACCAAGATGGGAAATATCTTGCTTGTAAGGGCTTTAAAAATGGTCTAGTGGGATCACTATGGTGTCTCACAGAGGATACTCAAGTTTAAACTGAGAGTTAAAGTTGGCTTTCTTCATCCTTCCATTCCTGCTCTTCCTTCTTGAGTCTGTTCTCTATGCAGATATCAAGGACAATGGATAATGTCATTTCCTTATTTGAAATTATCTATTGGCTTCCTATGCAGCACCACACCATGGCTTCTTACCACCACCCTCATCTCATGTCATTCTTTGATGTCATCAACCCCTCTAACCCTTCCTTCAAACACTGCACTAATTCCTGTTTTTTGGTCCTTTCTTTGCTCTTCTCCCTACCTAGCCTGAGTAGCAGCTTCAACATCACTGGCCAAGGGAACCCTTTCTGACCTTCTGAGCCTGGCTCTTTCTCTGAATGTATTCCATTGTTTACATAATAAAGGTTTGCCTTCATTCACTAGAATGAAGATCTCAGGAGTACCATGACTTATCTCATTCACCCCTCCATCCCTGGCACTATGAATAGCACCTTGCAAAGAAAGGGCATTCAAGAACTGCATGAATGGCTGCTCAATTAGTAAACTGTGTTTGCATAAGTTTATTGATGTCCCAGTGGGAAGAGGTGCTCTGGCCTCAACACTATCATTCTCAACTTTCTCACTATAAAAGCTTCCATTTAACAACCTTCACCCTCTTGTATTTGTTACTCGCTTGCTTACCTTTACCATCAGGATGTCCTGTTGCTTCTAACAGAAATGATCTGGGACATGCATGGTCCATAGCCCACTGAGCAAAGATGGGTTGAGGGTGCTGTGAGTCGAGGGGGTTGTGGAGATGAGATGGGGGGTGTCTGCTCTCAGATGCCCTTCCTAGCAGGTTGTCAGACTTGAGGAACTATTAAGGTCTCAGGAAGCCAGGCTCATGTTCTGAGACAATGACTACTCATCTTGGAAAGGTGACAGAGCTGGGGAAGGGACCAGGGGTTTGTGGGAGCCAGCCTGAGAGATTTCTACAGAAACTAATCTAGGCCAAGAGTCACACATGGATACTTGCCCAAGAAACTGAGTGACCTCTTTGGGCTCTGGCAGTGCTATCTTTATAGCTTACTGGTTTTGCATATACCCCCTTAGCATGCAGGGACACAGGTCCTTGCTTTAGGTGGCATAAGCCAGGAGTGGTGTTCTGTCTGGTTTCTCCTTGAGAAAAGTATTTTATGGGCAATTTTTCATAACTGTGCTCCTACTCATCAGAGTTAAACTTATCCACTTTTCCCTTCCCTTCTGCAAAAAAAGGTAAGGGCATTCAGAGCACCCAGAGAGGCCTTTGGGGACCTTAACCCCTCCCTATATGTGGGCTGTGGGACTCTTGGGCATCTCAGCCACTCACTGACTTGGAAACTTCATTGCCTCTTTTTGGAAAATAGGATTAGTAATACCCCCCTGCCTATTACCAGGGTTATGATGAAGGTCAAATCCACCAACACAAGGAACTTTTAAAGCACCAAGTCAGCACAAGAAGGAGGGTGTTGCCATTTTTGTTCTATCTAGGGGTTGGGAACAATCACTATCAGGCATAATCACTTCAAAAGGCACGGTTTCCCACAGCAAAGATCACGTGAAGTCCTGGCATCTGTGACTCACCAGCCCATGCTCCTGACGCTCCACTAAGGCCCATGGGCATGGTGGTTTAGAAGAGGCTTGGGCATGAACCCAATTCAATCCACCCCAGAGAAACACGCTTGAGGTTGGTCTTTGGGACAATCATGACTGAAGCCCTTGGCAAGGGACACAGTCTTTTTTTGGAGTGGTCTCAGCAGGTCACAATGAACTCTGACCTTTGGCACTAAAGTTTACAGGAATCCCAAGTGGAAAGAGGGTCAATTCCATTTTGGAGACTCGGTCCCCAGACTCAGTTTCCCTCTCAGGCTTAGCACAACCATCGTTATGCTTGGTGACCTCCCGTCCACTGAACATCACTATATACAACCACTTCCTCCTCTAGGGCACTAGCTGTCTTCTTTTTTTGAACATCCTGCCTGGTAATACCAGCCAGCACACATGAGGAAGGAGGACAGGTCCCAGGTCTCCTTCTAGGAGCTGAGGGTGATGACCTTTCATCGTCTGTTCTAACAAAGCCAGCGTGGTATTTATTTCATGCCTCTTTACACTGCTGGATGAAACATAAACATATTCAAGAAAAACTCTTGTTGTTTAATGTTTCTCTCATAGGAAGAGGGGAAAGAAAAGGAATTTGGGGACTAGGAAGGAGAGTGGAAAAGGAGCGGGGAGAGACACACTACTTACGCCGTTTGCAGCCGCATTTTTTAATTCTTTTGGGATCTGTGATGTCATCATGACAGGCCTTGCAGTAAAAAAATGCCCTGGAGAAAGAGAATGGAAAAACTGACACGTTTCATAATCCACCCAAGTGAAATGAGTACCACATTTCCTCCGCTATGGTGCCAAATTAATGAAACATGCCAGCACTAATTTCCTTTCATCTTTTGAAAAGTTTAGACGTTTGCAGACGGAAATGTTTGTTGCAAGACCATTTATTTCAAACACAAGATTCTGTGATTTGAATTAGTGCTTCTCTTCATAAACTCCCATTTGCAGGGAAAAAAAAAAAAAGTGGGAGGAGGTTTCTGATGAGACACTCTTGAGTCCGCTGGCTCATCGTTCATTGCTGAGAACAGTGTTGGATGCTGGCAGCCGGGGCCATGGAGAGTCAGCCCTGAGCCTTTGGGGACAGAGGGGGACTTAAACAGAATTCTAAAAGCCCTACAATCTAATAAGATAAATATTTTTAGAATGTGATATTGCTCAGTCAAGTGCAAATATTAACCTTGTGCCCCGAAAGCACCTCTCCTTGTTAGCCTAAGTGAGAGGCATTTGAGGAGGAGCATGGTGAGGGATCGGGAGGAGCAGTCAGCGAGCCCATCGGCCCTCTGTCGGCCTGCTCCGGGGCTGGCAAGCCCCAGTGCTGTAGGCTCCAGCCCTGAGAACATATGGCGGCGAAGGCTTGCTTCTCATGGCAGAACGAAGCTCAGCGGACCACTGGGATGGGATGAGCAGAGGGATGGGGTGGGTAGAGGCCCCCCAGAGAGCAATCAACAAGAAAGTGCCCCCTACTTTAACCCAAGTGTCAGTATGGGGTTACAGAATGCACTGGCTGTGCCAAGTGAACTTTGGATGAGAAGGAATTAGAGCACCGAAGCAGTGCTGAGAATCTCAGCGGTAGAAGCCAGTGTCGATGGTAGCTCAATCAGGACGGTGCAACAGCAGGCCCAAAGGGTTGTGCTCTTGTTTACTTCAAGTACAGCTGTCATAAAATATTTGAGATATTCAACTTAAAAAAAAAAAAAGGAATGGGATTTGTGTGAAATGATCTTGCAGAGATGTAACTTAACGTAGGTGTTCTAGGTAAGGTAATCTAGGCTGGTCAATGAAGTTTAGTAGGTCAGGGCTCTCCAGGCAATGCTGAGTTACAATATTTCCAACTTGTATGGGCTTCTTTGGATGTGGCCCCATCGTAATTAAAGGTGCATCTGTACTGGTAGGTGATAAAATTCCCTGGAACAACCTTACAACCTTTTACATCCAAAAATGAACAAAACCTCTGGCTTAGCAGATCCACCATTGCCAACAGAAAAGTAAGTGCTAGAGGTAAAGAAACACAATCCCCCCCCCAACCAATGTATTTAGTTCAGGGTCTCCATGGTCTACAGGGTCTCACTACACAGATCGGACTCATAGAGATCCTCCTGTTTTCAGCCTCCCAAGCACTGGGATTATAGTTGTGCACCACCATGCCCAGTCTCCATCGCTGTTTCAGTGTGCCCGGGGGGCGGGCCAGCACATCATGTCTGGGATCAAACCCTGGTCCCTGCGCCTGCCTTAGCAGGTACTTTAGTCTGCTGGGCTGTCTGGCCGGCCCAAGAAACACAGTGCATGATCAATTGATTCCTACATCTCTTTCTATGCTTTTCACAAGCTTTGCATTTATGAACGACATAGGTTGGAAGCTACATTTTTATTAATATTTATCAAAATAAATTAATGTTTATTAAAATATTAATGTCGTTAATATTTTTAGATCTGGAAGTGACTGTAGAGATCTTGCAGGCAACTCTCTGGGACTCAAAGTCCCCGTTTACAAATCGAGGAGGCTGTCACGTCCTGTCTAAAATCACCCCTTGGTGCAGTTCTGCTGGGCCTGGGCCTTCTTCATCTAAGTCTAATGTTCTTAATACCTGAAAAACTCTTTTGTAATTTCTTTAAACACCAGCTGTCATCTACATTGCAAGGAAAGTAAAGTGCGTGACGACTGGCCTTGTGTGGCACTGTGGTTAGGAGCCCAAAGGATGGATGGTGATCAGCCTCAAAACACACCAGGCAGGGCAAGAGAAAGGAAGCAGAGTACCAGAGAAAGCATCCCAGCTGGGATGAGTAACTTTGCGCCACTTCCTTTACCCATTTCTCAATGTGCCTAATGCTCCTACAGAAAGTAATAACATGGTAGCAATAGTAGTAGCTAGAACTTAGAGGGCATAGACTGAAAGCCAGGAGAAATCCTAAGCATTTTATAAGCATTAGCATAACTGATCCTCAAATAACCCTTTGAAGGATAAGTGATTCCTGCTTCTGCTTTACAGATAAGGAAACTAAGACCCAGAGAGATTAGGTGACCTGCCCTTGGCCTCCCAGAGGAGTGGCAGAGCCAGGATCCCAATCCACAGAGCCTGGCGCAAGAGGCCCACATCTTAAATACACCCATGCTAAAAGAGGTGACGGATGATGTTGAGGCTGAATAGACTGTTGCAGAAATGAAGTGTGACTACTTCATGAATTAAGGCTGGATCCTCTTTTAAAATGTAACTGTTACATCGAATTGACAAAAATTTCACTTGTGATGTTCGACATGATATTTTGAAATATGTACACACCGTGGGGTGGCCAAATCAAGCTCATTAATGTACGTATTGTGTCACCTAGCTTCCATTTTTTGTGGTGAAAACACTTAAAATTTACTGTTTTGGAGGTGTTCAAATATATAATAATAATAATATTGTTACTCACTGTAATCTCCAGGATGGGCAGTGGATCTCCTAAATTATTCCCCCTGGCTAACTGGAATTTCATGTTCTTTGACCAAAATCTCTCCTGTCCCCCGCTCCTAAGCCAGATCTTGGTACACACCACTCTCCTTTCTCCTTCTACAGGCTTAGTTTTCTAGATTCCACGTATACATGGTATTATGTAGGGTCTGTCTTTCTGTGCTTGTCTTCTTTTATTTAACATCAGATTTTCCAGGGTCAGATTGCCAGGGCTATCTGTGGTGACCTCAAGACACATCTCCCAACTAGAGGAGCGGGATGCCTTCAGAGTATCCTTGGGGCTTCTTTAGCGTCCGGCCAAAGGCAGAAGGCAGCAGGAGACAGGCAGATGGGAAGAGGTGAGCACCCTCCCTGCTGGGTCATGGAATAGTAATGGCAATATTTCTCTACTGAAGAATAGACCCCTCCCTCCAGCTGCAGGCAGCCCTCCTTCTCCTGGTCCTCAGTTCTAGGACTGAAACTCCCCTCTCTGCGGCTGCTTCTGTGGTGTTTTGCCACCCTTTGTTGGTTCCCCTTAACTCACTAACCCACAGCTTTACAGAACTGTCCCTCTTGATCCTCTATGTGTCGTCTGTTTCTTGCCAGGACCTCCACTGATAAAGCAGCACCTGCAGCACTCACATTTGCATCTCCAGCCCTCACCTTGCCCCAGAACGCCATATGTTTAGGTCCACCCACCTCTACTATAACTCCATGAATATGTTCCATGCTTATCTCCTGCTTACCACAACTCCAGGAGAAGTCCTTATTTCCTACCACCACATATGGAGCTTTCCCATCTCAGCGAGACAGAGTGTCATCTACCCACTTGATTAAAAGAATCTTTCATCCCTCTTGTCTTCCCTCCTTGCTTCTATCCCATTCTTCAGTGAATCCTGATGATCTTCCAAGTGTATTCTGGATGGGACCCACATCCCACCATCTCCATCCTCTCCGGCCTACACCACATCACAGCCTATGAGTCTCTCTCCTGATCCATTACCTTCTGTTCTCTACAATGCAGGCAAGATCACCTTATTATAATATAAACCAGATCCCATCACCACAGCTCAAAGAGCTGGATTTCACAACCAGTCCAGCCTCTTCCTAACAGTGTTCGCAGAATCAGCCTCAGCTCTTTGATCTCTGATCTCATCTCACATGGCCTCTCTCCCTCACCCACACTCAGGGCCCCTCATTCCCTTTTGGAGTCCTAAACACAATGGCCTTCTTCACATTATTTCTCTTCTTCCTGCCTGATCATTTTGTGATGACTCCTTTCTCCATTTGAGGCCACCCCCTCAGCGCAGGATTCTCTGAGCCCAAGTCAGTGCTTCAGTTGCCTTCTTTCTCCCACTATACATTTCAAAAATTTGTAATTCTCCTTTCCCTGGAAGCTGAGCCTCAGGAGAACATGCCTTTCTCTCTATTGTTTTTTTGACACCTACTATAGAGCCTGCTAAACATTAACTGATTTTTGATGAATGGATGAAATGAGTGTGAGAACGTTTCCCAGGATTGCGCCTGCCAATTTTTCAGGAGAAACCAGTAATAAGGATTTTTGTATAAAAGCAGATGACTCATTGCAACTTGACAACTAATTTATTTTTTTAAACTGTGATTCCAGAAGAGAATCCTATCTGCAAATCAGAGAGAGCCAATGAACCCATTAGACTACGTTCCAAGGTTACTTGAAAAGGAAAATATTTAGCGACAAAAGTAAAGGGTAAGTGCCCAAAGGTCCCTCCCAACGTGACCTTCTGAAGACTGAAACTGGATGTTTCGCTCTTCCTTCTCTAAAGGCCTTGCATCTGAAAGTTTTGATGAGCTATAACTCATGAATTTTTGTTGCTTTTCATTTGCATTATAGGGTGAGAACTCAATGCTAGACCATCATTCTCTGCTTTGCCATTTTTACAAAACTTGTTCAGCGTCACTCCAATCTCCTCTGTCCTTCCTGTAGCTTTCTACAGTCTTCATCTATCTGACGTCCCCTAACTGACAGCATTTGCTCTGACACATCACATACCACCGAAAATCACAGGCTGGTGTTGCAGCTGATTGTGTCAGCATGTATTTGTAAAGACCGTAAAGCACTGAAATGAGACAGATTGCGCTCCCTAATATAGGAGGTAATTTGTTTTCTGGACTGACTGGTATTTCTGACATTCATTAGTGAGCAAGGCAGTAGGAAATGGAATTACATAAATGGGAGGCGCACGTGATGGCTCCTATCCGGGAGGCGCAGGTCGCGCCTGGGGCCGCTGAGCTCCCAGCCTCCTGGGCCTGAAGCGAGATGCTGCCTCCTGCTTTTGTGTCCCATGTCTGGACCAGAACACAAGCTTCTTCTCCAGGTCATCTGGAGCATGGATTAGTCCCTCCTGCCTCCCTTTCCTTTCTTACATCAACTTCATTCTTGCAATAGTGCAGAAGAATAGCATGGTTCAATCAGTGGTGTCCCTCCCACAATGGAAGGGTGCCATGTTGTAGAATTAAGTGTAAGTCATCAGAAAGTGGGTTACAGAAATTTTATGTACCTCCATCCTCTATGTTCTTTTTCCTCAACACTTTTGGAACTAGTGTATGGCTTCTTTGCTAGAGCGCACGAGAAGAAACTCATAAGCATACATTGTTAAATATCATTGCTCTCCCTGCAGCATGCCAAGCTCATGCCTTGGCACAGAGATAAGAGTGCACCCTGGGGAGCCTGACCACTTGAATTTACATCCTGGCTTCATTTCTATGGGTGTGACGTTGGGCAAGCAATCTGTGCCTCAGTTTCCTCATATGTGAAGTAGAAAAGCCTACTGCCACCTAGTTCACAGGTTTGGGAGAGTTCATAAATACAGAGAAGCTAGTTAGTACTGGGTGGAGTGCCCACAAAAAGGGAACCCTCCAGAAGTCTACGGTAGTGCTATCACATTTGGTAGGCAGATATGAGGGCTTTAAAAAGGAAAGACAAGTTTCAATCTGGACTCTGCCACTTGTTTCATTCCCCAATGGTCTTGAACAAAGCATTCCTCTCAGTTTTATAGATGACAAAACCAAAACCCTGAGTGTTTTACAAGATTTTTTCCCCCCAAGATTGCTATCTTGAGGAGTAACAATGGAGTATAGCACACCTAACACAAGCCTAGAGTTGAGAAGGAGCCAGTAAATGAAGACGCTAGGCTTCCACAAGTAATTAAAGACCTCTGCAGCTAATACCACAACATAATTGTTGAGACAGGTGACCTCCCTGGCCACTGGCATCATATTTGCTACCGGGAAATTTGGCGGAGTTGCTAGAATAGAATCAAAATTAATGATGTTCCATGTCATTGTATGAACGTCCTGTGATTTGCTGGGCTCCTTAAATGGGTAGAGGGACACTAAGAAGAGTACCATAAGACATGGGGCCTATGAAATCCCGGGCTGTGCCTACAGAGGCCTCATGATGGAAGCTGACAATTTCAGCCATTTACCTAGGTCACAAATCAAACATGGCTCATTGAATGCTCATCTAAAGTTAATCCAAACGGTTTGAAATTTCCTTTGGCAGTTAGAGTGAAAAACAAAAACAAAACAAAACAAAACAACAACAACAAAAAAAAACACAACAACTGATCATTCTCAAGGAAGTCTGTCCAGATAATATTGAGAGCTCTGGACAAGCAGCCAATGGCCCTGTTAACCTGGCCTGGGTCAGGAAGAGTAAGGATGAGTTTAAAAGGTCACTGGACCTCTCCGGCCTCCATTCCTCCTTTGTAGGAGGAAGATATAGGTAAGGAGGCTTGTTCCTTCTAAACTTTTATTATTCTAATTCAAACATTAAAGACCTGCGGGGCCAATGTTCTGCAAAGACATCTAAAAGCAGTCTCTTTTCTTCTAAACCTCTGCACCCTTTGTACCCACAGATAAGTTAAGAAGTTGGAGTTGAGAGCCCTGTACATCTGGAAGATGCCCAGGCAGTAGAGTAATATGTGGATGGCTGGGCCAGAAAAGAAAGCAAATGAAAACAAATTCTTACCTTTTAACTTCTTTGGCATCACTGGCGATGAAAAATCCTAAAGTACCTTCTTGGATCTTAAGATGGTTCCCAGGATTAATTAATATACTGCTCAGTGAACAGAAAACAAACAAAGAAGACACATGGGTGAGGTCATGTTCCGAACCAAAGTTTGAAGGCAACACCATACAGTTGTTTTTATAGGGGCCCCACTACTCTAATGCTTTCCCCAAAGATGTCTCTAAAGCCTGGTAGTCTCTGGCCCACACACTGAGCTCAGTAACACCACCATTAGATGCTACGGTCCACTCTCATGTTGGCACACTTCCAGTCACAGATATCCAAGCAAATCTCAGTTTTAGGGCTGGTTCGCAAAGCAGGGCCACGCAGCTGCCAGCAGGAGCATCTGACTTGGGGCGAACGTACGGCTTTCGAGATTTGAGACACCTAGGCATGGCCAATGTTCGAACGTTATTGGTCTCATGAAGTTCTTGCTGCTCCAGACTAACAGAGCATTAATGGGACCCCTATATGTATATAGAAACAAACATATACACATACCACATATTACTGTGGGGAATGGTACAGGACGCCCAGGTAAGAAGCAAAGTGAACATGTTTGTAACATTGAAAAGAACATGGAAGCAGGTTCCAGGTACAGCCCACATAGGAGGAACTAGATCTTTCCAAACAGTAGAAAACAAAGCAGGTGGGCATGCTTTAGGATTCCAACCTGCCATTTATAAAAATGTATGGAGTGTCTGAGTACTATGCATGTCCTGAAACTAACTGGACCTAGAAAATAAGAATTACCTCCCTAAAAATCCTCCCTGCCGAAAAGGATGAACCTAAATTTATGCCGTCCTATTTAAAAGTAGCATAAATAGATTAGCTGACCAAGTTGTGTTTGGACTCACAGGAAAGATAAATGTATCCTAATTTAATAAATGGGTGAAACAAACTAGTCTAATTTCTGTAGATCAAAAGCAGAATACAGGGATGTCTTATCCAGAGGCTGAGAGGAGGCTTTGGGCTTGATAGGTACTGAATTTAGGCACTCTGTGTAAAGCAACAGACAACAAAAATATTCTTTGATCTGAAAAGCTGGTGATTAAGGTAGTGGATATTTGGAATTAGTCTAAAGGAAGTCCTCAGCTGCCCTAAACAATCAAAGTAGAAACTGGTTAATTAACATGTAATCTTTTTATGTCAGTAAGTCCATTCCAGAGAAGCACTGCGGCCAACAGAGTGAGGGACCTGCAGCCGCGACACAGGAAGGACCCAGCTGAACTTGTGTTCTGTTGGAAAACTCTGCCCAGATCATTACCGTGAAAGTAATTGTGTGTGGTTACGAGAACATCCACCGTTAACTATAACAAGACCTGGCAGAAGAAAAGCACGAATAGTGAGAGTCTATGAGGATTTGATGTTCTGCGTGGAACTACAGGCCACAGTGAGACTCCTTCCCAATCGGAGAGCGGCAGTCCACACTAACAGCACGGCTTGTGCTGGGCACTGGCCCTACCCAGGCTTCTCCTAATTACCCTGTGTCAATGCTCTCTTATCAGTATCGCAAGGCCTCTGATGTGGAGGAAAGGGCTAGAGCTCAGGCAGCTGAAATAGATTTCCTCTGCAAAGTCATTAACTGCAACACTTTAGAAAGGCAAAGTTCTGGATTTTGGACATTTCTGTAACCTCCTCCCTGCAAGGCAGCTCCTACATGCTCTGCCATCAGTCAGAATTGCATCCTAAGTCCAGGACTGCCATCAAGTACCAACTGACTTTACACAAGTTGCTATGCTTCTTTAGAAATCACTCTTCTTCCCTAGAAAAGGAGGTGAAGAATCATAACAATCTTCTATCTGAGAAATGAGATAACACAGAAAGTTCCAATGCATGTTTGTTATTGTTGTTACTTTATTTTATTCTTATAAAAATGGTCAACTCTATTTCATTTTCAACAGAGTTATCAGAGAATTTCTTTAGCTGGCTCCATAAAATGGAGCACAGAGCTCCAGATCAAAATACCCTGCTCCACAATAAGATGAAATTACAGGGCAAAACACTGCAGAATAATTCATCAGGGAATCCATGCAAAATTCCGCATGCTTCCAGGACCTAAGAGGGCTAGATGCTAAAACTGGAAAGCCCACGTCTTGATACATATTCACCTAAAAATGAAAGGACAGCTCCTGAGGGGGGAAAGAAAACCTATCATCATTGGAACATCGGAATTCAAAAGGAGCAGCATCTTGGTGACATCTGCACACAACACGAATGTCACACAGGCTGTCTCCTCTCCCCATCTCGTGTGCCTCATTAATTGTACTCTAGTGGCTGAGCCTACTGTGTCACTAAAATAGAAAGGTTCCCATCCATCAGACATCTCTTTTCATTGTCTCTGTTCTTTCTCTATGGTGAGCAAGAATTAATCCATGGGGAAAATTCGAGATTGGCGTTCTAGAGAGTATTGGTTAAGGTAATTCATTTCTCTTTGAGCTTCTTGTAGTCAAGTTAGTGTCATGGATAGGAAGACTTTGGGTGCTGGGCAGGCCAAATAGCTCAGCGGATTAAAACACCTGCAAGCAGGCTCAGGGGCTGGGGGTTAGACACCCAGGCCTGCCATGCCCGCCCACCCAAGGTGCGCTGAGATGGCAACTGAGACTGGGCATGGTGGTGCGTGCTGTAATCCCAGCTCCTGGGAGGCTATAAACAGGTGGATCATTATGAGTCTGATCTAGTAGT